CGCCCCGCGGAGCTGCGCGAGCTCCTTCCGTCCTGCCCCCCTCCCCTCCGGCCGGGCCGTGGCGCGTCGGCGCGCGCGCATGCGCAGCGCGGCCGCGTCCTCCCGCCGCCGTTGTGTGCTTACCCAAGCCACGCAGCGGCCCGCAATATGGCGCGGCCGCCGACCAATCCCCGCCCGGCTCCTCTTTGTTCTTTCCAACTTCTTCGGCAGCCGCCCGTCGCCGAGGCCGAGCTGCCCCCGACAGTGGCCTGCCCGCCTGCCTGCCAGCCGTTGCGAGCTCCGACCCGCGCTCCCGAGCCCCGTGTATTTACGTCCGCGCCGAGTTGTGCTGTGTGGATTGCCGTGGTGGCCCCCTGCGGAAAGTGAAGTGAATCAAAAGTGCGCCATGGATACCTTAACCTGATCGCGAGAGCCGCGCCCGCCGCCGCCCCTGGCGCCTGGATTAGAAAGTCAGCGTTCACCCTCCGCGAGCGAACCCCCCGGACAGCGCCTGGCCGAGTACAGTAAGTAGTCGCGGGCGTTCGGGGCCAACGCGTTGCACTTCTCCGCCACCGCGGTGCAGGGGCGCCGCCACCCCGGAGGCGCTAAGTGTAACGCTACTCACATTAGTGCTTAAGCGGGCCCAAGGCCCACCCCTTCACCCCTCCAGAGAAAGCGCTTGCTGTGTGTCCGATCGAGGCGGAGATACCCCTTGCGCTGGGACGGAGCCGACCCAGCCTACAGGACCGTCTGGGGCCCAATCGCCAGTTTTATCGATCCGACCCGAGACCGGCCGTTACTCTCCGATGCGTTTTGTTTACACCCTTTCCCATCCAAGCCTCGCGGTCTGCTCCTGTTGTGTCAACAACTCTGGGTTGAGGTTAGGTCCTCCAGTTCTTCGAACCCAGTCAGATATCAAATATAAAATACACTCCACATGCACAGACGAATTCTACCGAAAGTTAACTGCTTCTGCTCTTGCTTCAAATAATCAGGCTCAATTTGTGAAATTGTTCCTATTTTCTGTGATCTACTTAATACTGAAGTATACTTCTTATTAGTTCCCAGCTGATCATTAAGAATTGTACTTATTTATCTGTTCATATTTTTCTTGCCGACTGCCCTACATGTTCATTCAATATACTTCTAATTTGTATATACTTTTATCTCCTGAATCTATTTTGCCAAGGGTTTGTGCCCTAGTAAATTTTTGCATCATTCGTTGAATTTGGGCCTACTGATGACAGTTGTATTTGTGGCCCTGTACTTGCTCCTGTTGAGGATTTGGCATTAATTTTCTGCTTTTCTCTTTTCAGGTGGAATGAAGATATAGATTTGTCCATGATTGTGTACTGTGCGTCTCAGTAGTAGTGCCAGCAAATGGACCCTAATCAGCAACAGCAGCAACAGCAGCAACAAGCCCTACAACAACAACAAGCCGCCATGCAGCAGCAACAGCAAGCCTTGCAGCAGCAGCAGCAGCAACAACAACAGCAGCAGCAGCAGCAACAGCAGCAACTGCAACAAATGCAGCAAGCCCAAGCACCTCAGGTAATTAAATTTTAACTTTAACCTTGTCATCAGTACGCTGTTGACCACATTTGACTGCATTAAAGTCACTAGTAGTGTTCGTATGCGAACCATTATCAATTGAGTCCCCCTTAGTTATCACATTTAAAATTGATATCCAATTTGAACAAAGAGGCAGAAAGCATAGGTACTCTATTTTGGTCTCTCCATCAATATACACTTGTCAAAATTTGTTACCCTATGTACAATGACAAGTTATGTACTATGTGGTGATGTGAAACCTGAATCATAGTACTTGTCATTGCTGCGGTATTCTGACAAATGCCTTGCCCATGTAGGTGGTACAACAGCAAGTGATGGCAGTCCATGATGGCACCACAGTTAGTGGTGCTGGGGCTGGCGGAGCTGGTGTGGCGATGGGCATGATGACACAGAATCCGCAAGCTGTTACTCTTGTTGCCTCTTCCATGCCATCAGGCATGGGTCAGGCTGGTCAACCTGGTGTGCAGCCACAGGTTAGTGAAAATTTTTAGGCCTTTTTTTTTTTTTTTAGTGAGAAAAATTAGTAGGATGTCTCTGTCAATGACCCAGTCACTTTGCCCAAACCGTGGAGATAATGCACTCCCAGTAGAGTCACTACCACCTTTGTTCTTTCATTAATTTATTCCCTGCACCTCCCTTAGCAGGTAACTGTCTCTATGCAACAGCCTGGTATGGCAAACCAAGGAATGAATCCTGGTGCTGGACAGACTCAGAATGCAATGGTTCCCCAGTCGCAGTCAGGAGCAACCACCCTTACATCAATGTCTCCATTACACCACCCTATGGCACCACATACTCCTCATCCTAATATGGGTCATTCTCAGATGCAGCCAGTAAGTTATTTTTATTTTGTCCCCCCTTTTTGTTTTATTTTGTGTTGAAGAAGTGCATGCTATAATTTTAATGGGTATTGTGGCTAAATATTTAATGTGTTTTTTACATTAGTTACAGGTCATCCAACAACCACTTCAAAATGGACCTTACATGACTCAAGCCTTGTACAACCCTCAAGGGCAGCTCATTATGCCTGGAAACATCGCCCTTCATCCTGGTGGTATGAATACTCAGCCCATCCAAGTTATCACAGCCAATGGCAAACCAATGTTGCCAAGCGGCCAGGCGTGTGAGTAGCAGAGTATCCATGCAACCCCTCCTGCTCTGAAGCTCAGCGCATCATTTCTCATTGCTCAAAGCTCCACTTATTTCCTGTCCCATCAGTCATTTGTTATGTTCTCATTTTCTCATCAAATAGCATGCTCACATGATTTATTTTGTTCTCTAGGACGATTATTCCTTATTTTTTAATTTTATTGTATAATGTTGTCATGGAAGGTCTCTGCTCATGCCCATGCCTTTTGGTTTGCTTACTGCCCTGGCCTATTTTTATTTGTCATCTTGGCTGTTAGATAATTTGTTTTGATTTATGTTTATTTGTATAACTTGTATTTCTACACGAGTGCGGGCGGGCTTGCCTATCACCCCTGTCCACGGCGCCTTACGAGCCGAGCGAGTAGGCAACCCGCCCGCACTCGTGCATGCGGTACAGCATAACTACAGAAGTGCGCGGCGTGAATCAGCCACCTGGTATGCTCTAAGCATATAAGCATATGTTCTTGGAGCGGATCCAAGAGCAAAATGTTCTTGGGGGTGTTACAACTGTCCTTCTTAGCACTAATGTATTTTTTTAAGTGTGTGTTTCTTTGGTTTGAAATTCCCGCAACTTAAAGGACTAAGGCCACAAGAAATTCTGTAAAAAATGACCATGCGATCCATGGTTATTTTTATTTTTTTGTTAGTATTCAATTATTTAAAGGTTCGCGCGCGCGCGTAGCGGGGAGGGGGGGGAGGAGGGGGGACAAACAGTAGAGGGAAAAGAGGGAGACAGAGAGACAGGACAGTGCTATAGAGGGAAGGGGTGGTATGCCGTTGGGAGGGGATAGGGGCAATGCTTATAAGCGCCACACATGCCCTTCCAGCGAGAGCTGAGTCGAGTCCAGCCGAGCCAAACGGATCAGTGAGCCGAGCCGGGCAGCACAGCATTGTCCCAGGTTGAGGCGGATGCCATGCCATGATCACCAGCATTCCCCCTACCCCTCTCCCCTCCTCATTGCTCTCTCTCTCTCTCTCTCTCTCTCTCTCTCTCTCTCTCTCTCACTCCCTCCCTCCTTCTCTCTCCAGTTCTCCCCCAGGGCTGAGCCAGACCGCCTGCTGTGCAGCCCGCCTGCTTGAGTTGGGGATTGCATACCGAAGGGAAAAGAGAGAAAACATGCCGGCCAGGGCTATGGCTGGGCAAGAGAGAGACAGACGCAGGGAGCGAGAGAGCGGGCGAGAGAGATGGCCGTGTGGGGGGAGGGAGAGGGGTGAGGAAAGGGGGGGATGCGTGAGTTTGTGCGTGTATGTCAGAGAGAGAGAGAGAGAGAGAGAGAGAGAGAGAGAGAGAGAGAGAGAGAGAGAGGGGGGGGGGTGAAGATCCGACGAGGGAGGCAGGACAAAAAGAGAGAGATAATGAGCGAGTGCGAGAGACAAGAGTCCCAGGACGAGGGGGGATATTAGGTTAGACGGAGAGAGATGGGGATAAAGACACGCACATCGAAAGAGGAGGGACGGAAAGTGAGTAAGCGGGAGAGAGAGGGAGAGAGACGGGGAGGGGAGGGGGAAAGGGTGGGTGAGGGAGGAAGAGAGAAAGAGAGGGGGGATTGTCGAGAGAGGGGAGATCCCCATATGTGCGAGAGAGACGAGGAGAGAGGCAGGCAAACGAGAATAATTCAGGAAATAACCAAGAGCCTACTTCCAACCCTCCACACCGTGGTGCTCCGGGCAGGCCGGGCGGAGTGGGAGAGGGGGAGTGGGGGTGAGGGGAAGGAGG